GGGCATACCATTTGAGAAATTTGAATGGATACATACATCCTAAAAAGATTAATGGCAGATATTTGAAGCCTTATTTTCCAACCATTTGGGAAACACAAGGAATAAAATAAACACTAAGTACAAGAACACGAGAATACTCAAATGATAAATAAGAATTTGTTCTTCATAAAGAGTTGAATACATTCTGCGATAAATTGGCCCAGAAATTACAATGTCTCAGTTGTTCTTTTACAATGGATGTTCTATTCTTAAATGATGAGAACAACTGGATGGCTGTCGTCATTTCCTGCTTTTGGTCAGCTAGTCCTAGGTTGGTGATCTGCAGTTTGGTGTCAGTTCGGATTAAAGCCTGGTTCACTGCAGATAGCTCCTCCTCAAGTTGAGCTTTCCTCTCCAGTAGTTGAGTTCGAAAGTGGGAGACAGAAAAATGTTGTTTCTTTAGTTCTGATACCTTAGTATGCACTGTGGAAACAAAGCTCTGATTTTGAACCAATTTCTCCTCTACAGCCTTGGCAGTATGGCGAATGTTGATATAGAAATCAATAGTGGTTGTTGCCTGAGATAAATGACTTGAGACAGTCTTGCCAGATTGCTCAACAATCTTATAAAACTGAAGGAAGCCATTTCTTATTATAGGTCTCTCTAAGGCCTCGAAGGGAATCCTTGAAAAGGATGTCAATAACTCCAGGTAGTTATCCAAGTCTATCAGAGGTGAAGAAGGCTTATTACTGGAGGAAGAGCTCTAAAAAATTTCTAGTAAGGAATCAGCCAAAACTAACTGCTCAGTCTCATCAGTAGCCATTAGAGAGGTAGAAGGCAAGTCGAAGAGACTAGCTAGTCTTGCTTCAAAAATATCTACCTCATCTGTAGACATGAAAGGGGCAGAAAGGGCTTTGGTGGAAGGCACAAAGGACTGCATAGGGACAGGAGAAATGGGTGGAGCATCTTCAGTAGTCTCTATGGTTCTAGCCACCAATAAATCAAGGGAAGAAGGGCTGGAACTAGGCAAAGGTAATAAACTACGAGTTGGAGAGCTGCCAGCACCCTCTATAGGGGAATCAACTACCACCGAAGAGAAGGTAATAGCTGGAACTTCCTTAGGAGGAGAAGAAAGAGCAAGGCTCGAAAGTGAATTAAATTGAGATAGGTCAAAAGACAAGTAAGGAAGATATGGAGTTAAGCCAAAAGAAAGTGATGCAGGAATACTTGATCTTAGGAAGGGTATAAAAAATATAGGGCCTGGAAGTGGCAGGATTATTTGAATGTTCTCCACATCTTGAGTTTGTTCCACTTCGACTGAAACTGAGGTAGTCCTTATTGGAAGAACAGTCTCAGTAGTTGTTGCTGCAAAAGAAGAAGTACAAAGTAATGTCAAGTCTCAGTACCTAAAATCTGACAAGGAAAAATAGTAGAGGCTTGAAAGAAGTTACTTGTTTCAAAGGTGATAACAACAATAGGAGAGCTACGAAGGGAATAGGGCTTAGCAATATGTTGCCTTCTTGAAGTTTCCCTTTGGATTGCATCAACAGCAGTAGCTTCATCTCTTAAGAATTGCTACTGTCGTCTCTTCTCAGCTCTCTCAAAAACAATTATGGCCTTAGAATGTTCTTGCTCCACTGCCTTGATAGCTGCCTCATGAATAGGGTCTTCGACCAAATCAAAAAGGGAGACAGTCATCTTCCTTCTCTTTTTTCTCTATATTGGCACTGCCTGTTCCTTCTCAATTTCTCTCTCTTCAATCTAGGATTCAGATTCCTCAGAAGTGAGTTCCTCTGCTACTACTCTGGTAGTTGTCTCATGAGTAGGATCTTGAGCCAAATCAGAAGAAGAGACAGTTACTCTCTTTCTTCTTTGTAAGAGTGTCTCTTGCTCTTGAGCTTCTTCTTCTTCTTCTTCTGCCAATTGAATTTCAAATGCTTCCTTGATAGGATCAGGCAAGAGTTTCCTTTTCTTCTTTTGCTGTTTGCTCCTGAGGAGATGTAAAGCTTGGGTCTTCTGAGGAGAATCTCATTGTTAAGCACCCGCACCACCTTCACAAAAGAAAAACTAAGATTAAGGCTAAGAAGCATTATAAAAAAAAAAGACAAAAGGAGAAGAAACAAGGGTATCTACCTTTCTTAGAAGCAGCCCGAGTAACTCTAGGAGGAGTGGAAGCAGCAGGAGTAGATTGTGTGGTGGCAGGCACAGGAACTGAAGTGGTAAGAGCAGTGGAAGAAGTGGCAACTCCAGCTCCTTTGGGTTTGGATTGGGGCACATCCAGCACCATTAATAAGCCTTGAGGAGCAATGGCCAAGTATACTTCCATGTTGGTCACCCACCAATTTTGGTACCACTTCAATGGATTACCTTAAGGAATGAAAGGGATGTATTCAAAATCGATCAAGTCCTGTATAAACTTAGAAGTTGCCTCTTCTAGTCTGGACCTTCGAACCTTTAAATCCCTGCTAGTAAGACTTAGATTAGTGTTACTGCAGAGAGGTATTGGGACCTCTTGTGAGAAGCCAAATTGTCTAGCAAATTGAGTAGGACAATAGGGCTCAGCAATGCATTTGTAGGCTCTGGGGTTCATAGTCCCAACGAATAACTCTCTGGGGATTAGAATAGAAGCCCATATATCTTTGTGAGAATGTGAGGCACAGAACCTATCACTTAAAAAATTCTTCAACCAAGATGGGCCAATAGTAATGGGTTTGAAGGGACGAAAACTGTAAGAAGGAAGGGAAGCTGGAAGTTGGTGAAAAAAAGAGAAGTAAAAAGCAAAAGTAGAAGGATAAAGTGAAGCATTGACTAGCCTCATGCCATAAGTAGAAGGGTTTGGCTCAAAAAATTTAAGGCACTTAGATTGTAATTCAGCAAAATAAGCAAAAAGCCAATGCTGAAGTATCCAAAATGGACCTCCTTGATTGGCATCCAAGGGTTTCTCACAAAAAAGAGAACAAGCTCTATATACATGACCTAGAACATATGGAGCTAGGGCCACCTTTTTCTGCAGGACAACAGCTTTGGCAAGAGGGGCAAATTCAGGCATAATTCTTTGAGAAGAAGTGCAAAAAACGAATTTGCAAAGCCAATATAGTATGAAAGAAAAGAATTCCCTACCAGTTACAAGGCCCTCCCTTCTGTTCTCAGCCTTGACAAAATCACTGTAGGATGAGTTAAGGGAGGGGAGGGAAAAGGGGACTGGTAAGTCAGGATAATCTAGTCCAATTGGGGTACCAATGGGAGATAATCCTAATAGATGGAAAATATCAAGAACAATAGGGGCCATCATCCCACATCTGAATTGGAAAAAATTAAAAGCAGAATTCCAGAAGCAAAGGGCAGCAAGAATTAGGAAAGGATCCTCTAAGATGGTAAACCTAGATAGTCGAAGGGCATCGAGAAGGCAGAGCTCTTGAAGGTCCAAAGTCCTAGCAGGGACAACCCGATCGTACCATTCTTGCCACTCCGGTCTCACCGTGGACTAGCATTGGTGGGGATGGTTTATCCTCCAGGTACCCCAGTCAAGACCACCTTCGTAAAGGAGACAGTGGTCTTCTAGACGTAGATATAACGCTGGAAGCTCAGTAAGAATCTCCTTGAAGATGGGCCCAAGCACATAGTCCTGTTGCTCATAACGTCAAGGGATGAAAATGGGTCCATCGATGGCGTTTTTCTCACCAGCCTTGTACTTTTCACATTCTGCCTCAATGATCCTTTTTAGGGTTACAGACGGGCTCGCGCGCTCTACAACTGGTACTTTAAATGAAGAAGAAGCCATTGATTGAAAGCTTTCTCAGAAGACGAAGTTGGGAAAGGGAGTAGAGAGTCAGTAGAGATAAAGGGTTTGTGTGTTAAACGAGCAAGTGATTTCAAAACAAGAAGTAAAAGGGTTTTAAAAAAAAAAAAAACCTTCGTGTCCGGAAAATGTATCGCGTAATTCGTTAAGTATTAAAAGTACAGATACAAAGAGTTTCCTTCAATATTGACACTTTTGGAGGGAAAAACACATCCAGATGTTGATACCAGCTTCGAAGTAAAATATTTGGCTTCGAAAGCAGATTTTGGCACCAAAGGTAAAAAAATAACGGTTTCGAAGCAGAGAAGCCGACTTCGAAGTGCATTCCATACCCAAGAATGTAAGAATGCTCAAGTATTTGTTTACTTCAAATGGATTAAAGACCTATTTTAGGTTTCTTAAATGAGAGTAATATCCTTTGAAGCAAAACTTGAGACCCCTTAAGGATAGAAATTGATGTTCGAAACATCAAAACCATTAGTTGGTTTATATATATATATACAGAAAGAGATTGTCTTTTCGAACTAAAACACCGGTCTTGTACTTTTCACATTCTGCCTCAATGATCCTTTTTAGGGTTACAGACGGGCTCGCGCGCTCTACAACTGGTACTTTTAATGAAGAAGAAGCCATTGATTGAAAGCTTTCTCAGAAGACGAAGTTGGGAAAGGGAGTAGAGAGTCAGTAGAGATAAAGGGTTTGTGTGTTAAACGAGCAAGTGATTTCAAAACAAGAAGTAAAAGGGTTTTAAAAAAAAAAAAACCTTCGTGTCCGGAAAATGTATCGCGTAATTCGTTAAGTATTAAAAGTACAGATACAAAGAGTTTCCTTCAATATTGACACTTTTGGAGGGAAAAACACATCCAGATGTTGATACCAGCTTCGAAGTAAAATATTTGGCTTCGAAAGCAGATTTTGGCACCAAAGGTAAAAAAATAACGGTTTCGAAGCAGAGAAGCCGACTTCGAAGTGCATTCCATACCCAAGAATGTAAGAATGCTCAAGTATTTGTTTACTTCAAAGGGATTAAAGACTTGTTTTAGGTTTCTTAAATGAGAGTAATGTCCTTCGAAGCAAAACTTGAGACCCCTTAATGATAGAAATTGATGTTCGAAACATCAAAACCATTAGCTGGTTTATATATATATACAGAAAGAGATTGTCTTTTCGAACTAAAACAGTGCAGCTCTCAAAAGGAGCTTTCATATCTTTTGAAAGTATGGACTATTGTTCGAAGGAAAGAAGGTCAATTTAAAATTGATTGATCATACTAATCATGACCATATGTTGGTTACGATTAAAACAAGCTTGAAGGGGTAAGTTTGTTAAAATTCGAAGCACTGATTCTAAATGAAAATCAGCAAAAAAAACTGTCAAACTTTATTCCATAAATTGGAAAAGTTCATATTGGTTTTTTCAGTGTTTCATTTAAAACAATTGAGTCCAGATTCGAAGGATAAGATTGTCCAGTTCGAAGTCCTGAATTTGCTTTTAAAGACAAATGGAGACAAGATGAAACAATGCCAAACAAAGAAAAGTCTTAGTTGTATTAAAGCAAAAGCAATTACATTGAACGGCCCTCTTTGGATACAAATTCAAGCTCATAAAAGTAGGGAATAGAATAAATAACAAGATCGTGAAATTTGGTCCAGTTATAATCAATGAATTTCTGTTCTTTCTTTATTCTATCTTCTATTTCTTCTAGGATTGGCTGCATAAGTTGATGTGCTCTCACTTCATAAAAGAACTCTTCAGCCTTTATTTCGAATGCTGTTTCTCTCAATCTTTGTTCCAACTCGTCTATATCCGAGTCATCCCAGTATGTAGAATCTTTATTCTTGAAATTTTTGAATTCTTCAATGAAGTTCTCTGCTTCATACTGGGCATGAACTCGAAGGGACGAGAGTTGGTCCAAAGATTGAATGGTGGCTATAGAGGTTCGATGCCAGTGGAGAAGTAATGGAAGTTGATCCAAAAACATGTGAAGCTCTGCTTGGGCGAGGGGATTGAGGACATGACCTCGAGTCAGAATATCACAAGCCCATCAAAGGTTCTTGAGAGGGACTTCGTCCTCAAGAACAATGAAAGGCAAGTGAGAAAAGGCCGCAAGCAGGAATTGGGCTTGCTTCCGCTCAGCTGGAGTAGGAAAAGGTGAAGGCTTGTAGGGAGGAAAGACCTTATCCTCAGACAGGGCAAGCCTCAGTCTCTCTGTCCAGCAAGGAGTTGGTGGAGGAGAAGGTATGGAAGCCTCCACTTTAGGAGGAGGAGCAAGGGCAGAAGGAACAAGGGCATTAATATAATCAAGCCAGTCAGAAGAGCAAAGCTTTGCCTTCTGAGCTAAGAACGACGGATTGTACCCTTGTGCCTCTTCGGAGCGTCGGGCAGTGTGCACTATCTTTGTAGGCATGGAGGATGTGTACCATGCTATAAGTAGATTCTCCTCCAAACTACGTCGACAGTCGATAGGCATGTAAGGGTAGATCACCGAGCTTCGCGCATAAGAAGGGAATTCTAAAGGGTCAGTAAACTCGACAAAGTGATGGTTGATTCGCTCCCTTAAATCACAGACCTCAGGTTTTGACCAGCTTGTCCAGTTAGAAGCCCCAGAGGAAGAAGAAGCTGCAGCCTTATCCCATGTAGAGGGTTGTGAAGAAGAACTTCCCATGTCCATATTTGCAACTTTCTGAATCAAAGGATTGAGAGCAGTTTGTTCGTAGTCAAGGGTGAGTCAGAAGAAGAATTTCCCATGTCCATATTTGTAAGTTTCTGAATCAAAGGATTATAGGCAATGTGTTCATAGTCCAAAGGCTGATAATTTACAAAGGCATCCATGACCTGAATATAAAAAGGTGGGTAAAGGTGGCTAATTAATGCATGGAGGTTCTTTCGAGGAGGAACAACATCATCAGATGACTCTTCGTGTGCTCAATCAATGAAGGAGAAAATTGATTCGGCCATAAAAAATGTATCAGTCTGTTTGAATACTAAGGTGGTGGGGATGTTCAAAAGATTGGAGGAGAGTTTAATGCAGATGATGAATGACAGTTGCATTTCTGGAAGAATGCAAAGCCCATGCACGTTCTAAGACGTGGATAAAAAAAAAAAAAAAGACCTTGATCCACTAATATCACCAAGTATTGGGTATATTAGTGCGGGGGGTAATGTTGGCTACATATTTTGTACAAGCCAATTACAATTCGACGTATGGCAGAATAAGGGTAATACAGGACGACTATTCAAGTCTTCGATCTTGATCGTACACGTGGCAGTTAGTATTGGTTATTACGAGATCTGAGTAGTAGTGAATCAACAAAGAGATGCAAGGTGATATGGCTTCAACGGTTACTCACATTTAAATTCAAATTTAGGAGGAAAGCCTAACTGCAAGTGATGGCACAGTGGGGCTAATTGTAAGGCAACATGATCAACGATCATGGAGGAGCAGTTCGACGATTGGAAATACAATTCGATGGTCATCCTCGAGAAGTATAAATAGCAGAGAAGGCCCAGAAAAAGACCCCCAGACT